GCCGAGGCAGGTAGCGGTTGGAAAATGGTCAAGGGCGGACAAATAAAGACCTGGAATGAGGATGTGAAAACCCTAACCAGGAGACTAGGTCACATAGGCCCTGTTAGGCTCCCTGGCTGGGGACCCCGAGATCATGGTCACCGATAGTTAGAGACACTGAGCGATACGGCTGGGTGTCGCAAAACATGACAACCATGCATCTACTCATTCTTATTGCATCATCAACCTATATAAATTCACCATCTTCCGGCTGAATTTACTCTCAACATTCCAATCTTCCTTCTGCACTTTTACTCAAATGGGCGACCAAAAGACAACAACCAAAACCGGCGCACGAAAGTGCGTGGTGGTTAATGGTTGTAAAAACTGAACTGAACTGAACCGGTCATGTGATCGGCTTTCATTCCCATCACTGGCCATATATCTGTCCCTTGATAGCTTCTATAGAATCACTTCTCTTTTATCAACAGATGGTTAAGACAGATCAACAACATTTTATAATCACTGATCTGACCTGAAAGATTAAGGCTTTGAAAAAATCCAGCACACAAAACTGTGGAATACCGTTTTGATAAACTAAGCAACGCATGACAAGGTACAGTGATTTGGTACGTAACAGATGTGTATGGACAAGCCCTCTGGACACACCACCGAATCTACATGTTTGGTCCTACTCCGCATATTTGTACATTATTCACGTATTTGGGCGGGGCGTGTCGACATTGGTGACCGGCACCAATCTTCGATCAAATCGGCATCAATAATGACAAATTGTTTCCGCTCTAGTAAAGTGATCTTGTATTAATCTCCTTGTCTCTCTCTCTCCTTCCCTCTCTCTCACACGCATCATCGACCGAAATGTTTATCCATTGCAGTTAGGCTGCCTGGAATGGAGAGCTAATCCAACGATTGTGGGACGAGCTCCACGACCGAAATCGGCCAATCATCGTCTGGACATTCCATCGATTGGTGAACTACCCCGACCGGAAGCAGAACAAACCAATTCGAGGTCTTCCATGTGCACTCGCACGTTATCCGAATGTGCATCCAGCTGCCCCGAGTCGGATATTGTCAAATCAAGTCGCGGCTCGCAGCGCAACAAGGCCATCGGTGGTGCGGACGCTCTGTTACGTCGTCTACGGATGAGGCCATTGAGTAAAGGTTCTCGCGCAAAGACACCGACCCCGGTGGGTAGTGAGATTGCCGGCAGATTAGCATCCGCACCAGTTCGTTCCTCATCGACACCGCGAACAAGCTGCATGTCGAAAAGTTTTATTGAATGGTCCGGCGGAGCAGAAACTTGTGTGTTCCCCAGCTGTTCACATGGTTCTCGTTTGAATATGACTACGAACGAAGAGTCCAGTTTCCTACCTCCAGTCACCAATCCACAACGGACGGAAAGTTATCCGACGGTGAGTGCTTTGTGTGCACACACATTTCTACGATAGTACCTCATCACCACTACCACCTGGTTGATGACCTAATCCTGCCGTATGCAATCCATACAATTATCCATATCATCTCTTTGTAACCATTTATAATGCTGATTAATCGAAACATACAATCACCACATGAATGAGGAATTAGCTATGAAAATCAAACACGGATAGGCTAGTATAACTGCGGTGCTGGTCGTCGTTCACTTAAAACACCCGCAGGGTTTCCTCAGTTTTTCTCCCCACTCCCAAAAAACACGATGACCAAACTGGATAGGTGACCATTTTTTGTGCAAATCAACAATCTGTAGTCAGCTGGTCGAATCACATCGCTGCTCGTTCTGCCTCATCAATTCCAGAGTGTTTTACTACTGGCGATTGATGCGGGGTGGTGAGTGTTGAGGAATTCAGTTAAACAGACCCATTGACCGATGGGCATCATAAACCAGTGGCGTTTTTTTCTTTCGATTGTTATGTCCGCAAACGTCTTTGTGGACTGTGGTCTGTGTCGGTAGTTTCGCTTGATGACGGATACGAATTCCGCATATTTGTCACGTACCAATCAATCTTTTTCTCTCCCTAACCCGGTTTCGTGGATAGCACGTTTCATTAGAGCACTTTTTACATGTCTAAGTTCATCATAGCCACTGAAATAGGCCTCGTACAGTGAGTCTGTTAAAGCCACGGACAGTCTCAGTACGAATTGCTGTAATGAAAATAGGACCACAAAATATGATATGATTATCACAAAGAGTAGCAGTTAAAATGGAGTGGTGATTGGGAGAGGGATGACGCCCATTATGAATGTCCGCAGTTGTATTTCGCTTGATGAAGGAAGTGGAATGAAATGGTTTTATTATTCTGTGGAGTCAGTGACTGCGGAAGTGATTCATTCATGCCCACTTAGTGCACTCTTATCATAAGACCAGTGGTGAGTTCATTATTAAGCCATGACAAGCAAAGATGGGTTGTACTATATCGTGGATAGGCAAAATGGAAAAAAACGATCTGACCAGCTATCTACGTGTGGTGAGGTAGGTAGCATGCTTGCCTTCTACGTGTGAGGTCCTAGATTCGATCCTCAGTTGGATTCGCACTGCACCGATGAGACCAAATCAGATCGAAACAGCTGTCCCGCGCTGCCTAGCTTTTCAGTTCACGTTTTGTTTGCTATGTACATGATGAAATTCATCTTGTAATCGAATCAAATCTTCCATTACTCTCATGTAATAAGCATATTTATAATATGCTTATCTCACGATCCTACCAGATACTTTTTTTGGAGGTGGTAACCGGGCGGGAGTAGTAAGGGTTTGTGTGTGTGTGTGTGTGTGCATGACCACTCATACCGGAAGTATGATCAAGTCAACTGAAGACAGGTAGAAATTGAATTTTTTTTCTCCTCCTATGGACGAGAAGCGAATAAAACTGTACAGATTCGGGAGTGTGGAGACGGCGAACCAGGATTTGTAACCGAAACGTTCGGATCAGATCTCGCTTACCGATCGAGATGGTCGGGTAGGGATATATGTTCGGAACATTGACTGCAGTGAAAAATGGTTCTATGACGATAGAAATCTCTATGCTGATCGAAAAAGAGCATTGTACACCGGTTTCGTCATTTCTTTCTAGACATAGCAATTTGTACATTTTGCGTCCATGCTGGGACTCGAACCTCGAATATTCGAGTTGGGAGTAGAAACTCTTATCACTAAACTACACGGTCGACAGTCGACAACCTGATAGAATGACTCAGTTAATTTTTCAGTATTCCCCTTGTTTTAACCCACTTGATTGCTGACAGACACCAGACCATTAACTCGTGGGAAATTGACGGAATCCCCAGGAGTGAAAACCACAGTTCGAACTATTCGTGGTACCCAGTGCTTGTAAACAATTTAATGGGTTAAACCAGGCGGAATACTTTAAAAATGGATCCTCATTAGTTCACTATTGTTTTGGCGCCATGGGGTTTTGACGACTCCTGTTCATGTCAGAAAACTGTTTGAGAGTTCACCACATACGGGGGAATAAACCGATGGTATTGGAAAACAAGAAGTTTTGCCAGAAACTAGTGTGATGCATATGACGTTTATCACGTACGAGCAACAAACCTAATCAAGTGTATGGCTGCACAATGAACTACAAGCAAGACCTGAGTCGAAAATACAACCTGAGTGTGATATCGGCTTAGTAGGGGGGAGCTGAATCTATGCTCTATAGACTACGAAAGCCTTCATATGCAAAATAGGATCCATTGTTGACGAATAATTTTCTCATGTTGTCCATGCATGTCCATAACACATCATAATGTACTTGTTGCGCTGGCGTGGGGTGGAGATACACTGATGCATCACATATCAAATTATTTAATCTGCCGTGGAATCTTGTATGTGTGTGTGTGTGTGTGTGTGTGAATTCCAACCAGAAGGTTTGTAATTCCAGTCTATGCGGGGGGGAGGGATATAGAATACGAGCACGAGACACCGAATAACAACAAGGTCCAACTAGCGATCCACTCTCCTTTGACGCCTACCGCAAACCCTGAGAAAATCGCATGGACTGTTTCCAATTGATGTACAATCCACTGAGACAACGATGTCTGTTTATCGGAACTGTAAAAACACCACCAAACGGAGCTCTTTGTCTGAGCAGAGTTGTGCTCATGCAATGAGTACGTGAAAGATCACTGGTTTGACAGTCGATCGGAACACACATTTAGT